ATGGTGCGAGTGCTTGAAAATGGCGCATTGCGATCTTGTAGCCGTTTCCCCATACATCGTTCTCTAAGTCGTCTAGTATTTCAGTCCAGTGCTGCTTTTTTGCTGTTTTGATCATATTCTGAAGTTGCTTCTTATTACGTCTGTATTCTATTTCGAGGGCTTGGATTTCGATGGGGTTTGCAGTCCTTTTGTGGGCTCTGGTGAGCAATCTCCTGTTCCTGAGACACTCCGCCCTCTTTGTTGCCATCTCTGGTTTCCACCAGTAAGGGTGCTTTCTTCCTGGCATATGTGTTTTGCAGTTCTCATGTGCTCCCTTCACCATCTCATGATATGTTTCAGGTGTTTCGTCCCCCGTAAGTTGTAGGTTCCATTTTATTGTTTCTCTAAAGGCCTCCCAGTCTATTCCTCGTAATTCAAGTTGTTTCGTTTTCTTTTGGTGCCCTGTGATTTTGAAGTATATGTACTGGTGGTTCGTTAGTGTGTCGTCTGGGAGCACCTCCCAGTCTCTAATGTGTCGTGTCATGTTCTGGGTCGAGCAGGTGATATCGATATATGATTCAGATCCTCCTCTGATGAAGGTTGGCCTTGTGCCCGTGTTGTTCACCACCATATCCATTTCCGCAACGTATTCCGCGAAGATATCGCCTCTTGCATCTGTGATGGGGGAGCCCCATATCGCGGACTTTGCGTTGAAGTCCCCTAAGACTATATATTCCTTCCCTATGTTTCTAGCGTAGTTCATGATATTTGCCACCGCCATCTCGTATTCATTTATTGGTAGATTTGGGGATATGTAGCCGCAATATAAGTTGTAGTCAGGCAGTGTTACTTGGAGGAATCCGTTGTGTTCCTGGATCTTTTTTATGCATATCTTTTTGTTAGCAATATAAACAGCAACTTTCTGTGAGAGGTCTGCGAACCATCCTTTTTCCTTGAGGATTTTTTTGTTTGGTTCGCAGACCACCAGTATGTCGACTCCTCTGCTTATGACGATGTCATAGGCCAGGTCGTGTGCTGCTCTTTTGGTTCCTAAGTTTGTTTGCAGAATGTTGATGCTTTGTCTCATTTTCGTTTTGTTTGTGTTTGACTTTTGTAGTTTTGTTTTACCCTGCCTTACTTCTTTCTTCTCGCTTTTTTCAGAGCCTCTTCCAGCAGTCTCCTATATGCTGGGCATCTGCTGTTGCTATTACTGTGGCCAGGGACTTTACAGTTGAGGCAGTAGTGCTCCTCTTCCTCACAATCCCTTGCCTTGTGGCCTTTCTTCCCGCACTTTTGGCAGTCCGTTCTCCTGTCCTCCTCCTGGCATTCTTCGCGGATATGCCCATATTGCTGGCATTTGAAGCATCTTGGCACCTCAACTCGTAGCTGCACTGGGCAGCTCAGCCATCCCACTCTCAGTCGTCCGATGGTCTGGAGTTCACCTGCTCTTTGGCTTGCCAGATCGATGGTCGCATTTTGGCCACCCCTTACCGTTGGTCGAAGCTTCGCCGTCACTTCCTCTTCGGGGGACAGTTTCAGTTGCTCCCTAACCGCAGTGATCACATCTTGCTCCGTGGTTATGGCATCCATGCCGTACACGTGAAGATTCTTGCGTTTCTCGCTTCCTTTGGCTAGTACGCTCGTCCCTATTCCTTTGCTTGATATGAGGTCCTTCACTTTATCCGCTGCTTTCTTTCCTCCCTTCAGTTCAAGAAGTACTCCTCCCTCTCTTGTCTCTCGCACCCTCTGGACTTGGATGCCCTGTGTATCCCCTACTTCGGATTTAATTTCTTTAAGTAGTTCGGCGTAGCTCTTTGTTCCCGCCTTGACTATCACCAGCCCCTTTTCGTCTCCTCTTCTTACTTTGGTGTCCCTCTTGTCGCTTGCACTGTTCGCGTATAATTCTATCTGGATGTTTGTACCCTCTGCTGCGACTTCCAGTATTTTTCTTACTTGGGTTCTGTTAGTGTTTTCTGGTGTAACGAAAACTATTTCTCTCCTTTCGTTTTCCGTTGACAGTTCCATCATCCTCCTCGCGGTGGCTAGAAGGCTGACAGCCTTCTGCTGTTCGTCTGTCTCACCTGTGGGGACTAGTTTATATACGAATCTCTCGTTTGTTTTGAACGTTTTTCCTTCTAGTACCTTCGTTGTTTGGATCATCAGGCCAATCCCTGTGTCCCCCTTGTCCTCGAGTTCCATACTTTCTATTTCCGGGAACCTTTCCTTGAACTTTTTAAGGATTCCCCTCTCCATATCTCTGTCATCTGAGTATACCGCTACGTCTTTGTTCGTCTTCAGCGGATTTCCCTCTTTCATTTGCGTTTTTTCGAATGTTTCTTCAGGCCAGTCTCTTCCCATCAGTTGCAGGAAGTCCTCTTCGTTGTTGATCTGCGTCAGCTCCCTCCTGAGCAGTGCAGCCGTCTCTCTGTCCAGCTCTTTTTGTTTAGCCTCAGAGATGTCTTCGATGCAAACTTGTATGCCGATGGACTTTTGCTGGGGTCTGCTACCCACTGGGTCCACTGGAATTTGGGATTCTTTTCCTTTTTCTTCCGCAGGTTTTTTGTCTTTTCTTTCTGCACGTTCCGTCAGCTGTTCCTGGGTGTATAGCTTGTAGTCATCCATGGCCTCCAGTAATTTCTGTACTGCTCTGTCCACTTCCCTGACGTCCTTCTTTATTTCCTTTTTCGTGTTTATGCATTCGCTTGTGTGCTTCACCAGTAGTTTGACCTTTTCGTTCACCTTGTTCAGTTCCTTGAGGGCGTCTCCTAGTTCCATACTGTGCTTGTGTCTTTTTTTGGGTGTGTCTTTCGGAGTTGAGCTGCTCCTTGGTCTTTTGCTGGTGCCTTGGATTGCAAAGCATGGGCTCGTTTCAATGGTCTCGTCTTCCCATTCATCGTCAGAATTTCCGGCATTTGGCTGCTTACTGTATCCAGGTTCGCTATCTTTCATGTTCGACAATTCCTTCTTTCTTGTTTTCGTGATGCTGCCTGTTGGCGTCGACCAAGTTTCTTCTTCTTCGTCTTCGTAGGTTAGCTTCCTCTGGCTTGCTGCCTTGATGTCTTTTGGTGCTTCCTTTGGAGTAGTTTTGGTAGGCGAGTGTTTCAATTTGTGTCGTCTTTGGAAGGGATTTGACATTATTGTTTTCCAATCCCCGGCCGTAGTGTCCTCTGTGTCTATGTCAGCGTTGTGTTTCATTCCTTCTGTTACTGTTTCTGTTGCTGCCTCTGAGGTTGTGCTTATATTCTCGTTGCGGTAACCCCCATCACCGTCTTCACTTGATAGATATTTATAAATATTTTTTTCGTTATGCTCCATTTTTGTTCCCACGAGTTGGGACGTCCTATTTGTCCGGCGAGGCAGTGCGCCCTTACCCCGCTAAGGCTATCTGCACCTGGATGGCGCCGCTTTCCAGGAGGCTCCGTTCGTGACCAACTGTCGCATGGCCATTCACCCATCGGCACGGGTCGCGTAACACCTTGGGTTTCGGATTTTTTCTCAGGTTCTCTCCTGTTGAGCTGTCCTTGGTTTCACTGCTCTCCTTTGACCTTACCGGCATGGGTGGCCCTACCAGGAACTTACGTTCCCGCCGGCATTGCTCTCAGGTTCATTGCAGCTACTAAGCCCCCTCACCGCGTCAAGGTCACACAGCTCCTTGAGGGGAAACATATCTTAACCTAACCTAACCTAACCTAACCTAACCTAACCTAACCTAACCTAACCTAACCTAACCTAACCTAACCTAACCTAACCTAACCTTTTTTTTTTTTTTTTTTTTGTGAGGGGGAAATGCTTTATGCACTACACGGGCTTGGTTCTATCGCCGCGTGCGAGTGTGGGACTCTTTCTACCCACTAAAACCCCCTCTTGCCCTCTCTCGTCCTGGAAACATCGCTTGACATATCTTCAGGTACGAGCGGCATTGTCTATACGTGTTCTATATTCCTATGCAGTTTTTCTTCCTCCTCTTTCTTTTTCATAACCGATGTGATGAAATGGGCTGTATCGTTCCATGCAATTCGGTTGCTCAACATATGTTCAGTTATATTGTCAGCGTTTACTATTGCACCAAGCTTTCTTCTCTCGTTGTGCCATCTGTGGCAGATGAACATTGTGTGTTCCGGGTCGTCTCTCTGTCCGCAGTATATGCACAAGTCGTCTTCTGTCTTCTTGATCTTAAGAGTGTAGGTTCGAAAGGAACCGTGGCCTGAAAAGAACTGTGTGGTGTAGTAATTCAAGATTCTGAATTTGCAGGTTGTCCATGCTTCGACGTCTGGGATGAGCCTCTTTGTCCATTGGGCGGTTGTTCTATTGCTGTCCCATCTCTGTTGCCATCGTCTTCTGGTTTCCCTCTGTTCGTTTGTAGTGTTTACTACTCTGTCCCCCTCACTGATGAAGAAATCACAATATCCGACCTCGAAAACCCCCGAGATACCAATTTTGAATGGAATCTGACCATAATTACAAAACTCGTCCGCCATATTGGATCCACAATCTTGAATTTCCAGAATTTGACGAAAGAATCATAATTTTCGACCCCGAAAACCCACAAATACCAATTTTGAATGGAATCGGATAACAATACTCGTCCGCCATATTAGATCCGCCATCTTGAATTTCCGATTTAAAAAATAGATTACGACCGATTCTCATACCTACCGAATACGCACATAAAATTTCATACGAATCGGTCGAGCCGTTTCGGGGGTGCTATTCTCGAACTCATACGCAAAGCTGAGTATACGCTGCGTATACGTAATTTTTCGAATGGATGAAATCGTATACTATGATAGATCCGCATTCTTGAACGCCATACGACTTTTATCTTCGAATACGTACATTTTGAACGTATGAAAATATGACAACACTGTGTAAGTGGCAATGTACCCAACATGATAAAATGAAAATCCTATTTATTTCCCAAAATATTATGAAATAATTTAACCTATAATTAGTTGAGAGAAGTTGTTTTGTTTTCCATTCTCCATAATCTTTACATTCCATATACAGTTTGAAATAACAAAATGGAAAAAATCGCGAAGGAAAATATTACTCCAGATCAACGGAGGGAATTGGTAGATTTCATCAAACTTCATCCTCAACTTAATTCGGGAAAATTCACCAACGAATTCACTTTCAAGAAAGCCCAAGAATTATGGCAGAGTTTGGAGAATAATATGAATGCATTTCCAGCAGGTGCCCATAAGGAGTGGAAGAAATGGCGTAAAGTAAGTCAAAAATTTTTGGGTATTAGGTATATTGGTTAATTTTCCAATATGTCAGACTTGGCATGATATCAAAACAAGAACAAAATCCAAAAGTAGCATGATCAAACAACATCGCAAAAGAACAGGTGGAGGACCACCAACAGCTATAAATATTACTACACAAGAAGAAGAAGTTCTTGGAATAATGGGTGAAGTAATAGTTGATGGTCATCCTGGGATATCAGAATCTCTGGTTGAATTTGATGTATTGACCATGCTACCTGATCAAACTAGCATAGACCATGATCATGCCTTTGGAGTGTCCCAAAGAGAGGATAGTGAAATTCATGTTGAAGAAAATCCAAATTATGCTGACGAAAATGATCCTCCTCTGGAAGTACCACCAGTTTCTAAACAGCAAAGTAGTGGAAAAACAAAGAGGCCCAGGAGAATACAAAGGCTGGAACAAACCATATCTGCCACATCCCAACTGGCAGCCCAAACGGAAAG